TTAGCTTTTTAAAAGTATCACTAGTGGGACTTTCACGTCTGTGGATTCTCCTCTTAAAATGAAATGGATTGTAATCTTAAATTCATGTTGGCATAGATCATAATATTTTAGTTTTATACTTGCGCAGGAAGGTAATGGACCATTATCGTAGCATACAGTATGTTACATTTTTATTATATAGATGCCTTTTTATGCTAGTATTTCATTTTATTTATTTATTTTATCTTACCCATTTGATTTTACTTTTGTGTTGTATATTTTCAAATTTTGCTGGTCATTGACCAAATAAACATTATTTCATTTAAAATCATGTTGGTTTTTCTGTGGCCACCCACTTGGATATATAGATGGAGACTGGAAGCCCCTGTGCTGAGACTGCAGTGTTATGCTTTACATTAATTGTTACTGTGCTGTGATTATGATACTTGCTTATAATGAAAGGGAAAGTATTGGAAGGATTTTTTTCTGTTTTGATTTTGCAGTACAATCCTAAAACATGTTTGTACAAATAAAAGTCACTGTTTATGATTGCAACCTTTAAAAACATCATCCTTTTGCAAAGGTTTCAAGTTACAGAAAGGCCATAGCAACATAGCAGACCTAGAGAACTTTACTATTTTTAAAAATATGAAAATTAGTGAGGAATGTTAGTTATAGAACCTTCTGGAGATGAACAGCTGCTTTGAAAAAATATCCACAAAGATAATAGATCTTCTGTTGTTAGTTTGAACTTTGACATTTGCATGACTTCAGGCATCTTGAACTCTTTCAACATACTGTAGTCATTTGAAAGCAACATGCCCTCATTCCAGGAACATTAGATGTATACAAGAAGATTGAGAAATTCAAAAGAAAGGCTAATACTGTCATTTTTCTTTGCAGGAAAAGGGGAGAAAATTAATCTGAATGCTTGATCTCAGGGATAAGGCTGTGCCAATAAAGCACTCACAGTTACTAATAACTGAAAATAAAATATTAGCAATTGAAACTGAAATGTAGAAGTCTGTGTTGTATACAATAGTTGTCTTAATGATAATTGTTTTCTGGAAACAGGAAAATGACAATATTTTGAATTCCTCAGACTTATGGAAATAAATAAAGCTATCATTAATCTTAAAACCTTGGTTAGACTTCTAGCAAAGGCCAATGAGTAGCCACAGCTAAGGAATACATATCTTTCTCGCAATTCTTTTTGTTCTTCTTCCAAACTCAAAACTTTTCCTGTCTTTTTTTCAGGTACTTAATTCCCACATTGGTGAAACCAAAGATAATTTTCTCTGCTTTATGTCTAGACATGATTAAGTGGATGAGTTCTTTTTTCTAAAGAACTCATATCACTTAATCTAAAAAAAAAATCTATCAAATTGGAACCATGATTCTTTGGATGTTCTCATGCCAATATCAATTTAGTAGCTATATTCAGAAGGGTGCGTGTGCGTGTGCCTCCCCATTTTTTTTTCCAATATTCAGGAAGAAGGTGCCTTGGCAGAAATA